AACATCTTTTATAAACTTTTCTGGGGCAAAGTTAATAATAATAATAATGTTAATTTATAAGCGCTTATACAGCTCAGATCTAAGCGCTGAGAATTAAAAATTACAAAGTAAAAATTACAAATTACAAATATAGAATTACAAATTACATATAAAATTTACAAATCAAAGGCTAGTTTGAAAAAATAAGTTTTAAGGTAGGATTTAAAAAAGTTAACATCAAATGGATAACCAAACTTTAAAAACAAAACCTCGYGAATATCAGAATATTTCGATTTTTTTACCATAATTAAAGTAATTTTAAATACAATCTTACATATTGAGCGCTCTGCAGTAGATACCTAATTGCGATTTATTAAAAATTGTGTAACTCCTGCCACACGATATTCTTTTCTATCTGTTGACTAAGTTTAATTAACCTATAATAGGTTTACAATAAACGAGTTCCTTATCTTGTGTATAAGAGTGCACTATAAGTTAAAATATATATCGCAAATCTTAAAATGTCGTCAATAAAAAATTTAATAGTTTAACTTCATTAATTTTTCATAAGACTTTTTTGGCATTCAAACGGTAATCGCCAAAAACGTGTTCTCTTTTTTGAGTAACTGAATGCACCGGCAAAAATGGCAAAAACAAAGAAGATTAGAACGTATATGTACACTTTATTACAGACTGTATTTTTTAAATTTTTTATTTATTTTCGGGCGATTGTTTTGATTTGTTTGCCTCGTTGGGCGATTGGTTTGGCTGGTTTGCCTAAATTTGCGATGGAAGTTATGTCATCGGAGACCAAAGGACTCGACCTGGCAGATAATTCAGAGAAATAGTCTCTTTATCAGGCATAGAGCGCTTCTCGAATGCTGTTAAAAAGATCTCATTCGGCCAAAACACAATCCATCGTATCTGTCGTCCACGTCGAAATATCATAAAAAATGTGCAGATAACAAAGCTGAAAGACTCATAAAAGCACATTCCCTTCCTCTAGAAATGTCGCTAAAACGATTATCACCTTGATAAATACTTCCTCGAATAAATAAAGTCGAATTTAACATGCTAAATACTTGTCGAACTTGCCGTTGCAAGAGATCGAAAAGCAATAGAAAGACCATGCAGTTTACAGCGCATCATTTGATAATAACCGCTGATTATGTAATGTTTACTGTAGGCTCAAAGTGTCTATCGCTAGCCCACGAAATCGACTTTCGCCTTCAGTATGTATGTATGGCACAGGGACCCCAAAAGGCCTGCGAGATTAGTGTCGCTGCTCACTTCGTTCGCAGCAATAAGCGCGACGTTTCGCTGTCGTCTTGACGGACAAAAAAAAATTGCAACTAGGTTAACGAAATACGATTGTAACGAAACAAGACACAGTTTCGTTCTATTTTTTTTTTTTGTTCGTTGGATTAATTTTGACATCTACTTGACATTGACGTTGACATTTTCCCAGTTTGCCTGATACTAACGACACCGTTCAACGACATTTCTATGATATTTGTTTTATTCTTTTATACACATTATTGTCATTGAAATCGATTATATTTTCCAGCGAGTTCTCTCTGAGAACAGGTCCATAAATATGTTCAAAGTTAAAGTGCTTATGAAGCGAATTTTCTTAATTGAATATTTTTTAATTGCGCTCTATCAAATTTACCTCTTTTTAAACTGTGAAAGAATGTTTTTGGTAACCCCAGAAATATTTCTTACAAACAATAAGGTGAAAATAAACAATACGGCAATTTTGTATAATCAATGAGCACATCATGTGACATCATCAAATTAGAATAATGGATTAACTTCCAATTTACTCTGAAATTTAAAGCCTGCATCCGGCGATACTTTGTCAAGCTGTTATTCTCTTCATATTAATTATTTTTAAGTAATAAAAAAATTCGCTTCATAAGCACTTTTAAAAAGTGTTGTGTACTGACGTTTCGGACGTTAATCCTTCGTCGGAGGATTAACGTCCGAAACGTCAGTAAGTTGTCTCAACAACTTTTTACGGTGTTAAATTCATCCTTTTTACACAACTGTTTTTTTTAGAAACACCGACGCAGCTCAAACTAGTTTACCTTTAGTTTCCACCATTTAAACTAAAAAGTGACTTTTTTTAACAGAGTGAGTGTCATGATATGCCGTGTGGTACAGGTGGAGACGGGTGTATTTTGAGCGACAACAGAAAAGCTTTCCAATGCAAATGCAAAAACGCATTTGAAGGAGACCGTTGTGAAAAATGTAAGTATTTAGTAATAGTAGTTCTAATGCAAGTCAAAAATTTGTAAGAATAACCGATCATGCAACAGCATTTTCTCAATTCTACTGGCGTACTTGCCTTTACGCTCGAAAAAAGTCCTGGGCACTAGATTGTACAAAATTGACCACTAATAATTTTCATATCTCTTTTTAAAAGGCAAAAGCCCTGTCGCTCTTGGTTTGGAGAGTAGGACAATTCCTAATTCACAGATGACCTCCTCTTCGATCTATTCATCGAAATTCCAACCGTACAATGCCAGGTTAAATTTTGTTCCTCCGTCGGACAACTCGATCGATGGGGGCTGGGCACCTAAAGCGAATCGAGTGGGAGAATGGATACAAGTAGACCTTGGTACTGTCACCATGGTAGCTGCAGTCGCAACACAAGGTAAATAATACATTCTACCTCCTCATTTGCATATTCGAGATCCCGTAAGATCTGAGCGCATGCGTACTGGCGGTCATATTGTGTTGCGTTTGGCGATCGACATACGTTATTAGCACGTCGGGCTAGTGCGAACCATTCGCAACTGAGAAGTTTTAGCACAGTTTTAAACATAAATGTGGTGTATGCCTAATACGTGTACTGCACAATTTTATTATCTTTCTCTGATGACGTCATGCGTGTTTTGACGAAGTGCATCATGGTAGTGCTGAAACAATCAAGACATCAGAAGTCTAAAAAACTATGAAGGACAAGGTTTCTTTGCGAAATTGACATTATTGGTCATTATTCAAAAAAGATATGCGAGATATACAATAGAATATATCTGAGAAGTAATAAAAAAGCTACTTTTTTGCTGAACAGCCTCAAGCACAATATGACTTTGCACTTTAGTGGAGACTAGGGCAAACTAGTGTGAGCTGCGTCGATGTTTCTAAAGAAACAGTTTTGTAAAAAGATAAATTTAACACCGAAACAACTTACTGACGTTACGGACGTTAATCCTTTGTCGGATTAAAGAAAGGCGAATAATTAACGTCCGAAACATCAGTAGTAAGCTGTTTCACCTACTTTTTTACGGCGTTAAATTTATTTTCTTACACAACAGTTTTTTCTTAAACAACAGTTTGCTAGTCGATCCCATGGTGTATCTGATTATGGGAAAAGACGATGAAAGC